CCAACCAACCAACCAACCAACCAACCATCCAACCAACCATCCAACCAACCATCCAAACAACCATCCAACCAACCATCCAACCATCCAACCAACCAACCAACCAACCATCCAACCAACCAACCAACCAACCATCCATCCATCCAACCAACCAATCAACCATCCATCCATCCAACCAACCATCCAAACAACCATCCAACCAACCAACCAACCAACCAACCAACCAACCAACCAACCAAATGCCTGGTGGTCTTATTTCCAAAAACCAGCCTCTGGAAACTAAGACTAGCTCTGGGCTGCCTCACGTCGGATCTCTGTCACTTAAGGTCATCCTAATTTTGAATCCTTAGGGGGAAAAAAGGAGGGTCACAGAAAGGAAGATTCTCAACAAGATGAAGCAACACAGTGACTGTACGAAGACAGATGAGAGAGCACCACGATGGAGTAGGACTAAACAAGGTGCCGATTTTCCTTTCAGCCATCAGTGAGTCATTGTTGGCTAGAGGACATCTAACAAAAACAACTTGGGGAGATTTTTTTTCTATACTTTTTTGGGGGATAACAAAAATACCACAAGCGGATAACTTTAGGAGACAGAAATTTATTCTCGAACACTCAACACTTTCAAAGGGATGTTCCATCCCAGCATTCAAGGTCTATGGCCTCCACCTTCCTGTAACTTCTCCATGTGCATCTATCAAGATGTCCCCACCCTTAGCCCTTCTCAAATGAAGCATCTGTTGTCACTGTTCTTCTGTTACGGATATGAGAACCAGCGCGTAGTAGACCCTCCAGAAGGTTCCGACTGCCCATCTTCTCCCCATGTGGATTTGACCCACGTGCCTTTAGGATTACAGTACAGCTTCTCCCTAGGAGACCACCAGAACTCACTCCCCCTTGCCTACAGATGCCATAAAGCCACCCCTTATCATCAGAAGGGGAATTTAGAAGGCATTCCCCTCAGGATTGTTCCATCAAGACGTCAACACGCACCTCAAAGGAGACCTCGTTAGGATTTAAGTGGATCTTGCAGAGCACCCCTAACCCCTCTAAGAGAGGAACAAGTCCACTGACAAACACCAGAGGGTCCTCCCTGTCAGAGTTGTGAGGCAAGGGAAGTACCAGGCACCTGGACTTCTTGGTCGGGAGTATTCGACGCAACAGTCTCTTCAAGATAGATGTGCGCACACAGTTTCCAGAGAATTTAAACAGTCGGAGTCGTGAGCAGCGGATCAGGGCAGGTAAGATGGTGTTGAGGTGGGAGTCCCTGAGATCACAGTAAGATAAGTCCAGGTGCTCCAGGGTGTCCGAGGTCCTGAGTATGGCGGCTCCGAGCAACTTGACATTCAAATGCGCCAAGAGGTTTTTGGAGAAATTGAGCACCTTTAGCCTTCTGGTGCAGGGATACAAGGACAGGGATTTGAGGTCTGAGTTGTCTAATGTGTAGTAAATGGGGGAAATTGTGAGTGACTCCAAGTGGGTCTCTATGTGCTTGAGAAAGTGGTTGATGTTTCCACGGAGGTAGGCATCGATGATGTGGAGATGCTGGAACTGGCGCAGGTAGGCGAGCTGGGAAGTGAATTCCTTGTAGATAGTGTCCAGCTGATCAGTTCTGTGCTTGTCCTGAGGAGGGTGCATCAAGATCCAGTCCCTCGGGATAAGGGTCTGGAGGGTGAGGATTTTCAGGTGCACCATCTGGGACAGGTAAGGAGCGATCATGGACAGGAAATCCATCTTTGTTATGTAGTAGATTTTCAACTCCTCAACACCATCCAGCTGCACATTGGCCAGGATCTTCTCAATGACTTGATACTCTGGTAGATGATCCGCAAAGGTGAGCTTCCGGCAGTACAGCTGAGGAAGCGCCTTTCCCTCCTCCACTCTGCACGTGAGGAAGGAGAGCAGAAGGTTCCAGTCCGCTTCCTGGAAGCTCAGGTCCCCCACCACCTCCATACCTACGAGTGGCTTCCTCGGCGCTGCCCTGGAACACTTCCCGCACCTCAGACTTTCCAACTCCTTATCCAGCCAGGTCACCGGAGCTGCGGGCAATAGCACTCTGAGGTGACCCGCGGTGCGACGAGGGCCCTGGTCTAGGAGGACACCGAGCGCCTTGAACACACTGTGCAACGTGACCAGAGCACCGAGTTGCTGATCCCTCATCAGAGACGTCAGGTCCAGGCATGGCGAGGGCCAGGAGGCTACCATGGCCTCCACCACCGCCATGTGTCTACCAGACACGGCTTCCATGAAGAGGTCTTCCCAGATTAGGAAAGGGATCAGCTGCGAAGCCACTGGGACCCAAGACTCATTCTTGAGGAGGCTCTGCTTGGTCAGGTCGAAGAGACACTGCGGATTGAACATGGTCATGAGGCCGGTGGACTGGCGTGGGCCCACACTTTCCTAAGAGGGACAGAAGACGGAAAGGAGTTGATGTGGAGACAAGGGTGGTGGTGGTGGTGGTTCTCCACCCTCAGAACAGCTACTTAGCCCCCAGATCCGAGCTCCCTACAACCTATTGTGCTGTGCTGTTCAGAAGTGACATCGAGCTGCCAGGAGGCCATGAGGACATCATGGATTTGACATCTCCACTCCTGTCTCCAGAGGTTCCCTCCCTCTGACCTGCTACAGCTTATCATGAACAGTGATCAGGCCTTGCAGATCACAGATTATGAAGCTTGAAGGCATAGCAATGAAGGGATTTCTCACAAACAGCCAACTTTCCCTGAGGGCTGATATGAAAAGTTCCTGGGCTCCAACTGAGTGCAGAATATTTGAATTTTGTAAATAAACTAGAATATATATATTTAAAAAAAGTCAACTTGGGGAGGGGGTAAAAACGCGCACCAATGAATGAATGAAAACCTAACTTTTTTGTAAACTTTTATTAAAATCACAAGTAAAAAGAAAAAAATTTCATTTAAAAGAAAAAAGTACAATGATTCCTTGAGGCTCTACGTGAATAGGAGTCATCCATTCCTTTCAAAAGCCCAGCAGGTACAACCAAGGACTTGTGTGTCAAAACCAGTTCCACCTTATTTTCCTATCTATGTCTGAGAACATTAATTGTGCAAGTGACCTTAAGTCTTTACCCATTTTGGAATTTTGGGTCCGTCAGCACTTAAGAGGCTGTGGCTCAATTACGTTCTGGATGGGACCTTCAAAAACAAACTCAAATATGCTGTCAGGAGAGAAGAGACACGGGGCTGGGAGTCTCCGGAGCTGAGGACAAATGTCCCAGGAAAGCATTCCTGAGGGCACGATTTTGTCCCAGAAATGGCTCTTAAGGGGGTGCACGCCTCTCGGATGATGGTTATTTATCAAAACAACACATCACCTACTAAGACATGTGAAGACACATTATTGCCCAGCAAGCACAGCTCTGGTGGCCAAGCGGTTAAGAAGCTGCCAGGTGTAAGGCCGAGGGTTCAAATCCACAGGAGAAAGATGACCATCTCCTCCAGTGCCAGTCTCTGAGGACACAATGGAGGGTCAGCTGCCTAAAGACAGTTGTCAAAGCTTAACTTTCCCCTCAGGGACTCAGCCATGACCTGTGCTTTGTACAATGGCCACTTTTCGTGGTTCCATGACTTCGAGAAGACATTCAAGGGGCACCTGGCTTCCTATCTATGGGGCTGTGTGTTGCATCTTCCTTCCCCCTCCCCTCTTTCTTTTTAATTTTATTATATTGTGTGTGTTCCATCAAATCTGATCTGACTGGTACAGGAGGAGATTTCCCCTCCTTCTCCGGCAGAGCATCTGGTGAATTCGAACTGTGTACTTCTGGGATTGTAGTGCAGCTTTTTGCCACTAGGCCACCAAAACTCCCCGCATCTTCCTTTTGATAATTCACACGTATACATGTGATTAAAAGAAGTTTCTTATCAACTCCACTGTAGGAATCACCACGTGTTAGTGTCTATTATGTATTAAGGTTTCATGACATGACTACACTATTAAAGAGTGAGCTCTGGTGGTTTAATGGTTAAGAAGTAGGGCTGCCAAGCCAAAGGCACAGGGTTTGAATCCACCCGCTACTCTGTGCCCTGGAAAATCCTTGGTGAGTGGTACAAGTATAAGGAGATACTCAAGTCAGTTTAATGATGTATTGAACTTCCAAAAAGTTAAAACTGACCAGCTTAGACCTGATGGTTAGGGCAGGGGATGAAGGCTTATCCTGATTGAGCTACACAAAGACCTCCAGGCGGAATCACTAAAATGTCCTGAGGGTATTGTTGCCCCGGTTCCCATTAAGGAACCAATCCAGAGCTGACACTCCCGTTTTGAGAGGCATTTATTTAATCCTTTAAGGGCATGAGGAAGCAGCTGTTATAGAAATGATAAAGCAGAGCTGTAGAAATGATAAAGTGGTGAGCGCTGCTGGCCTAGTGGCAAGAAACTACACTGCAATCCCAGAGGTGTGTGGTTCAAATCCACCAGATGCTTTGCTGGAGAAGGAGGAACAATCTCCTCCTGTACCAGTCAGATCTGATTTGACGGTACAGACACACAAATGATAAAAATAAAATAAAAATTTTAAAAAAATGATAAAGCTTTCTCTATGAATGCCACCTCATTAAAACAACTCTAGTGCCCTGCAAGAAAAACATTTATTTAGGGAGCTCTGGTGGCCTAGTGGCAAGAAGCTGCACTGCAATCCCAGAGGTGCACAGTTCAAATCTACCCAGATGCTCTGCTGGAGAAGGAGGGACAATCTCCTCCTGTACCAGTCAGATCTGATTTGATGGTACAGACGCCACCAAAAAAGAATAAATTTTAAATAAGAAACACACAGAAAGGAAAGCATTCACCTCCACTGAAAACCATTGAAAGGGCATTCTCCATGGAAAACCATAGACAACAGCAATTATCTACAAGGACACCCAAAGGTTGGCCAGATAGTAACAGGCTCACAGACAAAAGCCCTTGTAGTCAGATGCAAAACAGAAGTAACTCAGACGAAGCTGAGAGTCTTCTACCACCTAGAGTTGGGAATGGGTCCACCAGTTCTACCATGATTCCATCTCAGGTCCTAACAGGGCTCAGGCAGGTGGCACGCTTCACCCGCCCCCGACCCACCTCAAACAAATTCTGAAGAGCGCTGGGGATATTTTTAATGGCACAGGAAGGGCGGACAGGCGGAAGGCTGGGTTGAAAAAGTGGGGACAGTGGACAAGAAAGGCTAAGAGCTGCCTGAGGGATGTCAATAGATTGTTTTGTCACATATCAAACTTCAAGGACACCCATCACCTTTATTCCTGGTGACAGGCCTGTGGGTAAAAAATACTTTGCCTGTCCAGAATGAGGGTTACAGAGTAGAGTATACGTGGAGTGGGAGTGGAGATATGCAGGGTGAGGGGTGGAGGATTATGTAGCAATGAAGGAGTTTTTCTTTTGCTTTTCAAGGAGAGGAGCGAACTGGGGGTCGGGGTGAGTGGGTGGGGAGAAAAGTGCAACAATGAATGAATGGAA